GTCAGGTGGCTCTGAAAGGGGTGGGATTTCAAACATACCTTATTTTCTTCTTTTTAGCTAATTCAAGGCTAATCCCAGACATTACAGCAATTAAGTCCTTTATTAGAACCCCAGTGGAGATCATAAAGAAAGTTTGTAGCATAGTAGACTTGAACCCATACTCCAAATCCTGAATTAATGTCCAAATCCTTCATTCTTTTTGTACTCTGTGAGGCAATTAGTAACAAGCACTGTTTTGAAAATGCATACCCTAATGTTTTACTCAGCTCTAATTTCTATCAGTATCTACAGTTGCCAGATGACACCTTCATTGGCCTTCAAAATGACAAGACTGACCATAATAATAAGCTTATTGATCAGTTTAACTGCTGTTTTTTCCTTTTCAACTATTTTCATATTAGTAGTTTCCAAATGTAGCATTATCAATTCAGATAGATTGAAAATGTTCACAAGGCCAAGGAAGGGCTGAAATAAGACTGTTAAAAAATGCCCACTGGAGTACTTTGTATAGTGCACTGAAAAAACAATAAACTCCAGTGCAGTTTACATCAGAGTCAACTGCTCCCAGGCGCTGTGTCTATACATGCGCCCAGGATCACAGTGCTTTGAGCCAGGGTGGAGCAGCCCCAGACTGGCAGAGTGTCTGTGGGGCATCAGCCCTGGGTTCCAGGTGGTGGCATCAGGGGCTGGCTGGGGCACAAGGGTGCTAAAGTGTGGGGTTAGGTAGCAGGCAGTCCATGCACTTTAGCACCCTCATGCCCCAGCCAGCCCCTTTCACATGTGTTTCAGCACATGTAAGTACCTGACTGTAAGATAATACTTTCAGGGAGTTACAGCAGAGTTACTTAATTTACTGCACCCTAATACTGGTGCACATGGAGATGGTGATGCTTTACTCCTGAGCTAATTAGTCTATTCCACAGTAAAGCACACATGTAGGTGCACTCTATATGTACAATGCAGGCATGGAACATGACAGTCACTCCTTGAGGGATATGCAATGTAATATTGCATGGTTGCTTGCTGTACTGTATTCTGTACTGTTTTGATGCTTGGTATAACTTTTTGTGTGCTGCTGGGACTTCAAATGGGTGAACTCCTACAAATTTTGATCTATTACAAAAATACAGTTATTTCTAAGGCTTGGATCATACTCAGATCTAGCTTGAAGATAAACCTGGGTTTAGGTTTCCAGCTTCTGACACCAAAACTTGAGAATTGTTCTTGCCAGAATCCATCTCCAAATGGCAAGAAACTTGTAGGAATATTTGTTCATACAATATTCTGCCCACCCATGGACAGATGAAATGTGATTTTGAACCAAATCTAGAAAGGCAGTTTGAGCCTGAAAGTGGACTCCTCCTCAAGATCCAAATTATTTTGGAACTAGTCTGAGATTATGACTCATGGATTTCTATGATAATTTGCAGCAGGATCAAAGTAACAATTAATCAGCAGAAGTTTTTAAGTGCACACACGCACAAACTCAGCACAAGTAAATATTTTATTCTTTAATTGAATACATATCATGTTGTAATCTGATTATTTAAGTAGTGAGGCTTTCACATAATCATTTAACATATTGCCAGAAAGACATAAAAATGAGGAAAGTTTCCAATTAAAAGTTGATTGCTTATTTATTTACCAGTGAAAAATACAGAGCCTTCACGTCTTACACATGGTCGGCCACTTCAGTTCCCTAAAAAAATGCACAGACTCAGAGCCATAGACTAGTCCATAAATTGCTTTCTTACCTCAGTTAAGGAGCATTTAAGGATACTGTTGGGGGAGTGGCATTGATGACACTTAACATGCTGTGGCTGCACTAACTAATCTTGCTATTGCAGCAAGATTCTGTAACTACATCACATCCAACTTTGCGGCACATTAACACCAGGACAGTGTTTCTGCTTTTAAACTGGGATTACTGATGTGCATGATTCGGGCCCAGCATTGTCTTCTCTTCCATATACATATAACCAGCAGCATCCTTCAGGATGAACTTGCAGAGGGGGGACCAAAGGAACTCCCAAATGATGAAGATTCCTTCCCTAACACTGCCAATTGCAGCCCAGTTTGAAGGGGTAAAGTAGGGCCTCCCAACCTCCCTCAGCACCCTCATGGGAACTGGAGGAGTCCATGTCGGGCAATGGAACTCATTCTTTCCTTTGTCCCCTCTACAGATGGATGCAGGAAGGCTTCACAATCTCCAGACAGTGTCATCACTCTATTTTGGAGTTTGGATTTTTTTTTCCTGTCTGTTTTGCACTTTATCAATGGTCTCTCTTCATGCCACCTTTCTTCTACCACAGCACATCAACTTCCAGTGCCACTCGCCTTTTGAACTCCTATCTCCCCATCAACTCAATCCAAAACGCCCCATGAAAGGAAGCCTAAAATTGTGTTTGCAATTATAGTTATAAATTATCGTTATAAATGTATGATATGATATATCATTATAAATATTTATACATATATTGATGTAGATATACAGCCCAAAACACCTACATGGCACCAACTGATATTGGCCTTCTTTTTCTAAGTGTGCTGTACATCCATTTACATCTCACTGTCTTCTTCCTTTCCTAAAACATTTGTAGCTGAAGAACAGGAAGGGACATTGTCTCTAATAGAGTTTATGCAGCACAATTTTGTTCTACTCTTCATTTCATTGTTTAGGGATTACCTAAGAATAAATCATTATTTTAAGAAAAAAACAGAACAAAACACTGGTTTCTCATATCTAGATCACTTGCTTTTCCTTAACCTGAGAGAATGTTCAAGTTGGTACAGTAAGATACCAGTCCATACTATGTCTGCTTTAAGACAAAAGACAAATTCCCTAGGCCATTATTGCCCCATTGTTTCAGCTAACAATTCCAAGAATGATACCCCTACCTTCCACAAAATTGGCTAGGCAAAAGATGAAAAACATGCCTTGTAGTGACAAATTGCTTAATTACAAGTTTGGCAATGCATAATACTTTGTATGTGCTATTATCATCAAAGCAGAAGAAAACAAAAAATACATCCATTACCGCAAGAAAAAAAAAAAAAAATCTACTCTTACCATAAATTTCTGATAAAGAAATGAAGTAGGTTCAAGTTTAATCATACCGGCAGTAAATCAAATATCAAATTTAAAACAACGAATTACAAAGAGCCTCCTCACAGTCACTTAGCATTGATAAATTAGTAATGTAATATTAAATTATTCATCTCTTTTTTTTCCTTAGGATTATAATGATATACTGTACACAGCACTGATAATTTACTTAGGCTGAGTCCATTCATTTAATTATGCTGCTAAACTTGGTAGGCCAATTGGTCATCATGAGAGTTTCCAGGCAAGCTAATCACAAATATATAGAACGTGTCCCTTATTGTCCCCAGCGGCTAAGTGCTAAAATGCTATTTAGTGCTCAGAAGGTTAATGTCCTGCTTATGTAAATTGTCCAATTTAACATTCAGCAGCAGTATCATAAATTCTGGCTCCAGGATTTCATTAAACGTATGTTCAAACTAGTTGACCTCAAAGGTTAACAAGCACAAGTTAAACAGGACAATTATTTAACTCGCTTCTTATCAAGAGGCTGAAGTGTTCTAGCTATTTAATAGTTATGCATACTTCACAATTAGAATTCTTAAAAGGTCCCTGATAAAGCTGCAGGTCATGAATTTTCATAAGGATGTCAGATAATAACTATTTATCTGCACTTGTTTTTCTTTCTTATAAACTTAAACTTTGATCTTAACATTCAATTAGAAATGATTCCACCGAGAAAGACTAGGTGATTCAAGGAGCTTGCCTTCACATTCATTTTAATCTAAATTAAGCTTTAAAAACATTGCAACTGTGTTGTCTTTCACAAAAATTAATTCAGAAGTTACAGGCCTATTTTTCATGCATGAAGACCCCTTCCCCCCCCAAAAAAAACCAAACAAACAAGCAAACAAACAAACAGAGCCCTGAGTCTTTACTCAAACAAAATACATGGGCTGCTAAATTATTGTTTAGATTAACATTGTATTTTTTCATAAATTGCAGGAAAAATGCCCATCTCCCCTATTTCTAAACAATAACTTATACTGTATCCAAGTACATCTTAACCTATTTACCAAAAAGACAGATTTGCTGTGACTTTTTTTCTTCTTGTGCTGCCGCATTTCCCTGGGAGTGACTACTGGCCATTGTTATCTATTTGCTACTTACGCTAGCATTTGATACATCGATAGCAGCCCCTGTGATGACATTTCAAATTGCAACCTCACAAGTTCTAAATGCAACAGAATCCAGTCCTGGCTTCAGGGGCGCACTAAACCACTAAACATATACCAGAAATCTCAGGACTAGGCAGTAACTAAACTTCAGGAAGTCATACAAAATATTTTGCCCTTTGAAGTTCAACCACATCAGGTATATTCTCATTTATCAGAGAAAATAGCAACAACAAGCATTTTTATTTTCATAAATCATGACTTGCATTCCTGTTGCATTTTAGAGATGAAATTAAAAAAGGGGTGGAGGAGAATGGTTATTATAAAGCACCATCTTCAGTTTATTTTTACTTATGTAGAGCTAGATTTGGACTCATTAGAATTAGATTCTACTTTCTCCAAACATACAAGACTCTTTTGTTTTTTGAAAAAACTTTGCTGGTTAGAGTGTTACTTTTTAAAACAATAAATGGGCTTTGGATCTAGATCCTATTTTATTCAAACACACAGGGCACATCTACACAAGTTGCTAACTTTGCAGTAGCTGAAATATACTGCGCAATAGCGCGTCACAGCACAAACAGTGCTAATATGCTACTGCGCAGTATTATTAGGCTACTGCACAGTAGCATCTCCTAAAAGATGTTCACTGGCACTACTGTGTTGTAATTCCAGTTACTGCACATTTATTTAGTACATGCTAATAGAAGTTCTAAATAAATGCACAGTAATGACTGGCCAGTAGCATCTTGTGTAGATGCACCCACAAAGTTAGAATAGAAAGAACATTTGATTAACTGCAAGTAGATAGGAGCTTTTGATGCATCTCAGAATATGTAACTGTTTTATTACAGAAAAGGAAGGACTGTATCCCTCAAGTGCTTATGCACAGAACTGCATGTTATTTGTCCCCTTGCAGCTCAAGGAAATACACCAAAGTAAAGCTGCATTACCTCTGTACTTGCCTGTCTGGGGATTGACATTGCATTTTTTTTTCATAGCAAATGGAAGCATAATGTAGTACATGCATTCACGGCATGTGTAATTAGCAGGTTAATTTGGTTTGGTTTGTCCAAGTAGTGTTTCTTAAAAGCATTTTAATTTAATGATGGCAAAACAATGGATGATGGGTACTCACTTTTCCTCATAAAGGTTTGTGTAAGATGAAGAAAAGAGAAAGAGGGGAATGAGAAAAGATTTCCTTTACATTGCATGTTGTGATGTTTTATAACCTTGTGCGTTGCTGTTTTCCAAACTTCTTCTTTTGAATTCTGGCTTCAAATCCTGCCTGAAAGAGGACATAAATAAAGCTGAATGGCTAATGGACTAAAAACACTTATGATCAGGTTTTCATAACTAACATTATTGATAGCTTCCTTTCCACATGCACTCACATATAGTGCAAATTCATTTCTAAAATAAGATTTAGAGCCCTATTTGCAATAAAAAGGCTAACACATGCAAATAAAAAATGAGAGATTCCATTGCATAGCTGCATGCAATGTATTTCTATTAAGCATATACAGAAACACTCTTCCAAAGGCAAAAGGACCCTCTAGAGATTCCCGTGGGGTTACATCTAAGTAACTGCCTTCACAGGCAGGTGTGGATATGTTCCCCCCCCCCAGCATAGAGTTTTTAGAAAGAAGTTAGAAAAATGCATGGATGAGATGGTTTAGACAGGGATGGTCCTGCCTTGTGTGGCAGGTTAAACTACTTGACTTCCTGAAGTACCTTCCAGCCATGTTTTAGTAGTATCTGACCAATATGTCCAATGTACATATTTCTGAGATATAATCTGAAAGCTCTGTTTAGCCACATTTATTGGAGCCATTTGAAAATTTTCCAAAGACACTGTTTTTAATGGGGAAAAAAAATGGGGTTACAACTAACTGCATTTATTACTTGAAAATATATAATTTTTTCCCTGTGAAAAACAGACATTTCCTTGCAAATCTACACCATAAAAACCATAAATCAAGTTTTAGGAGAAAAGTGAAAGTGAAATATGAAAATTCTGCCATGGTGCTTTATGTGAGCTGCCTCATGAATCATTTTCCTCAGCCTTGTATCCCAGTTGAACTACATCTCCTGTGATGCTAATGCATGACAGAGCTATGTAACAGCATGATGGGAGACTCTAGTGAATCTTTTTTTTTTCCTGAAACAAAAGTTTTTAGTTTTCTTTTTTGTTAAAAGACAACATTTTTCTGTGGAAAATGTCAGTAAGGGTTTTTTAGGGGGTGGGGGAAGGTGTTGCAGTATTCTATGGGGAGGAAAACAATTTTCCAGCCAACTCTGGAAATTATCCATACTTTTCTGCCTTATGAAAGCCCACAGGAAGTTCCCTACAAAAAAGCTATATATTAATTATAAATTTTATACACTCATTTTTCAGATAGTCACCAATCTACAGTGAGCTGAAGAAAATTAAAATGATCAATCTGAAATTACATAGTTGCACAGTTGACCTTATGGTACAACTCTTGATGAAATGGCCAGTGAAATAAAAAACAGTTTTCAAGAAAATAATTGTTGCAGTATGACAAACTGGGAAATCTCTGTATTGTTTGGATCATTTTAGGATATGACTCTGTATGGTTATGATGGATAATTTACAATGACTTCAACCAAGCAAAGCTACTTCAAACACTTAAAAAGTCATCTTAAAACATAGACAATGGGAGACTGATGATAAGATAACAAAAGGCCAGTTACAAATGAGTTTCATGTACTCTTTGCCATAGAAAGAAAAACATTTATCTATATTTAATATAAAACAGCTTCTGATATGTAAAGTGTGCTTTTGAATTAGTAATTAGATGCAGGTGCAACATTTAAGACATAACTAATTATGTCCACAACTTCATTTATTTTATCTCAGTCAGCAAGTTACTTAAGTGTATGCTTAATTTAAACACTTGTGTAGTCCCAAATATTTCAGTGGAACTTCTTACATGCTTAAAGTTAATAAGCACTTAAATTATTTTCAGATGGAGTTTCAGAAACCTGACCAGTGGTGCCCAACCTTTTCAGCCTGCAGGCCAGGAGATGCTAGGTTTGTCCACAGGCCAGATCCAGATGATTGACCTGATCTGGTGCCTGGGGTATGGACAGGGCATGGCTTGGACCTGATCCGACTATGTGGCCATGGCCTGGGTTGGGCCCAATCTGGCTGTACACCAGTAGCCCAGGCCAGTTCAGCTGTGCAGGGCTTAGAAATTTGGCAGTGGGGAAGGGGTGGCAATTAACCTATGGGGAGCTCCACAGGCCAGATACCATGGCTCCACAGGCCGGATTGGGCTTGTAGCTTTGGGTTGAGCACCCCTACTCAAGTCCAGTAGGACCATTCTTCAGACAGGTATTACCTATGGTGGATAAGAATGCCAGAATCTGATCCCAAATGTGGCACAAAATAGGAGCAATTAATTTTATTTTCAATTGTACTATTGCAGAACAATTTTGGAAGCAAAGTTCGGACCAGCTAAAAATCTGGGCTTTCAGATTTTCATTAACTGTGTAATTTTTTTTAGCAAAGGTGAAGGTATTTTACTGGTTATTGTTACAGAAAGCCTTTTACCTTTGCATATTATGCTATCATAAAAGGATATTACCTCGAATGTCAGTTCTTCCTGTGTACCTATGATAGCTTCTTGGCTGAACCTTCTGCATCTGTATTTAATAATGTTTTTAATGGTCTGTGTGGACTGACTGCAGTGAGGCTTTAACCAGATTTTATGAGGATGGTAATAATTGCTAACAATGTTGATTCAGGAAGACTTTATAAATTAAGATAACAATTAGGCATATCTAGTAAGGATTCCAATATCAAATAAACAAACCTTTTAATGAAAGTTTATATGAATCCTGTTAGACCTAGGATTTTAACTCTCTTGTAGCTATTCTATAAGACGAAATAGCTCATCCTTTTCACAGGTGCCTTCTGGCAGTGATCTTTATTTCCAGTTTGTTAATGTTGCTGTCATATCATAAAGATGCACACCTTGTCTGAATAGTGCACATTTTGTAGAATTTACAGAAATTGTTCTTGCAGCATTTTCCTTGCATACAAACCAAATCATCAACCTGTGACTTATTTCCTTGGCTGTACACTTCCATCCTAATTGGGCCATTAAATATTCGGCTTGCCTAGTGGTTCAGAAGGCATTCAAGCTGCATTTGCTCTAGTCTTTTTGCTATTTCTAAAGAACAAGACAGGTCTAGACTTTCTCCAAGTCTTGCTGTCTGTCTCATTTGAAACCAAAAGCATATCAAGTTGACTTTTCTCCTACCATTAGTTTAAATTATTGTAAATGTTTACATATGACATGTGCAGATGACAGACATTTGACCAACCAAAGACTGCAAGTATTCAGATAATAATAATTAAATGAGTTAATCCAAACTGCAATTAGGAAATTGTTCTGCTTGACAGACTTAAGTGCTTCAAGCTATGCAAACCACAAATAGCACATACCTGTGGCCAAATTCTTCTAATTTTTCCCAATGTGACTCTTGAGTAGCACAAGGTAGATTCTTCTCTTGGCAACACCAAGGAAATCTGCCCCAGTGCCATAAGTAGAGTGTCAGAACTCATATTTTGTCCCTGTTCTGCCCCTGGCTTCCTATGTTAACATGGAGCTGTCACTTAAGAGATCATCTCCTTAGTTCTTCTTAAGAATGTTTTTTTTAAACTTACGGGCTTTATTAGTTGATGTCTGGAAAGACTCTGAAGATGCTTGGATGGTTAAGTCATTCCTGAGGGATGCAGGTGATTTAGGTTCAGTTCTATCACTTCTGTCAGATGCCCTATTTGACCTTGGAAGAGTCCTTTCATATCTCCCTGCCTTAGATCAATCAGTCAAAAAAAAAATATTTTCCTTCCCTGTTACATAGGAGAAACTATTTCAGTTCTCTGAAGTAAGCTCTCTGAAGTACTGACTGATAGCACCTAGTGCAATGGGACCGTGCTCTCATCCCTGTAATATAAATAACAATTATATTACATGTATACCTTTTTCTAATGTAATTAAAGAATGCTGAGATTACAAAGTCAAGAACTTAAAAGTTAGAACATTCCAGATTTAGGGCTGTTTCCATAACCTTGATTTGTCCTCTTGAATATATTCATTATGATATTGTTGAAATACATAATTGCATATTTTTTCCACCACAGGACCTCTGCCTCTTTCAGTGAATGGGTAGTTATTCAAAGGGCCTTGTTATACATTAATTTTAGGCAACTCCTGGAGCTCTTAACCCCTGGATTGGCCACACATTAACACCTGAAACTTGTTTTAAGCAAATGTTAGGCATCTTAGAAGTATGCCACTCCAGTGCAGGTTTATCTTTGATACAGGTTGCCCAGCTTGTGTTTCAGTAATGTGTGGCCACTCCCCATAGATGAGCTACCCAAGTTGCAGTCCTCCAGCATCCCTGGATGCAATGTCTCCTCTCCCACCCTCCTGCTCTGTGTGGGCAAACTTTTCACTTCCTGAACTCTACTGCCCAAGGGGTGGTTCTGGCACCAAGTCAACTCCCCCTCCCACCTCTGCGTGTGTGACCTTCCAACCTCTAGGGTGTAACCCCATGCAAACAGCCTGCAAAGCACATGCCAACTAGCTAGGCTGCAGGGCACAGATGGATCCAGGATGGGGTCTAGGGTGGGTGGGGAAGGAAACAAGGTTGTGGGCTGGATTGAGTCCCCATGAGCTGGTGCTTCCTTCCTGGGGCAGGGGCAGTAGCTCCTCCAAAAGCACCTCTGTTCACTCCTCCTAGCTCCCAGCTACCCCAGGAAGCACAACTAACATCTCCCACCCCCCAACCCCAAATCATTAAAACAAGAGACCTTCATTAATTTACTTTCTTTCTTTTTTATGTATTTATTTTTTTACTTCTTTTTATTTTATCCTTCAGTGGCTGACTTCCTCCGTTTCACCACCCTTCCCCCAACCCCACTTCCTTTCCACCTCCCATTTCATTATCCATCCTCATCCCATTAACTCTCCACCTCCCAGCTTCATGTTCCTAATGCACCAACCCATCTCTCTCTCACTCCCACCTAGAGCAGGGATAGAAGCCTGCCCTGGTTCCCCAGCCCTGTAGTGGCAACTCACAGCTGTAGCTCCTAGTCAGGCCCCTGCTTTCCAGGCCTCTGGGGGAAAGTCATAGCTGTGCAAGTGGGAGACAGTCAGAGCAGGTTTTTAGCCTTAAGGTGTGACTCCTCCAAATTCAAGCTAGCACTAACACTGATCAATATATCGGCAGCTCAAAGTGCAATGTATAACAAAGCCTAAAATTTCTGTTTTTATTCTCCTTTAATGTATGGTTCCAAGCCTAATATAACACATGCTATTGATACCTGCTCTGAAGACAGCAATTATTAATTTCCTTCAAAGATTTTAGTGGTGTTTATCACTAATATATATGTGCTTCACAACTATTAACTAACCTAATACCTTCAGAACACTGACATAAGGTAAGGCAATGTTATTATTCCTATTTTACAGAGGAGGACAGGAGGCACACAGAGATTAAGTCCAACATTTTCCAAGAGTTCCACACATTGACACCTGATTCTTCAGGCTACTTAGCATTTTTATAATCAAAACTATCAAACACAATTCCCATTGACTTCAGTTCCAGTTGTGGCCCTAAATAATTCTGCGTATCTGACCTAATTTATTTCATATTGGGCATTTAACAAAACTTTGGTTAAAATGACTAATCCAGTATCATATAGGAACTGTGACATAGGTAGGAATATCATTACTCTTTCCAAGATACCATACAACTTCCATGACACCATTTTGAAACTCTGCTTCATTCATTCATTGCGCACCTTCTAACCTCTGCAAAAAATGAGGCAAAGGTCCTTCCACAAAACACTGCTACTTCACTTCCCAGACAAGCTCATCTTGTGCATGGAAAAAAGACAGGGATCCTGTGACTACATAATTAAAATCTGCATCATGATGCCTACAGAGAACAGAGTTAAATAATATTGGCATAGGCAACCTTCATTCTGATATTTTTAACTTTTTAGTGATTGACTTTGCAACCTTAATGCTTTTAGTATCAAAGAACTAGAGAGGGGTAAGGGGGTAGATATAATTACCCTTTATTGCTCTAATTAAGAAACAAAAAACCCCAGGAATTGTATTATGGCACAGTATATTATCCCCAAATTTGGGTCATTGAGCAAGTGGGCACATTTAGATCCACACCATTGACCCATACCATGTGAGATAACAACTTTGTTATTACATACAATTGGGTATCTAAATAAATAGGCTGATTTTCAGAAGTACTGGGCAGATATAACTCCCATGAAGTCAATGGGAACTGCCTATGCACTCAGATACTGATTCATATAACCATGAGTCCAGGAAACCATGTAAGTATATGCCTTGCTTTAAGTATGTTCTTAACCATGCACTGGAAACTAAACAGGCATATAAGCTGTCCTGAACAGGGGCCTTACCTACCATCATGCTGGGAGGGGTATAAAAGAACTTTAGATCGGTGGATATATAAAATGGTGGATATATAGCATTCAGTTCCTAACTGTAGGCAGAAACATTTTTTAAATCCTGACCTTATGAGGTTCATTTTCTTCATTTTAAAACACAGACAACATTTCTTTCACAGCAGTTATGTGGGGTTGAAGGTCTAATCCTGTTCCCATTAAAGTCAATAGAAAGACTCTAGTCAACTTCAATGACAGCAAACCTTTTAACAGTTAAAGCATTTGTAAAGGAACATGCAGGTTTGTACTTTTATTTATTAAATAACAGTTTGGGAAAGTAATGCCAGATTATAGGTTGATGTATAAAGGCGCTCTACTGCAAACTGTGACTTGCTTACTGTTGTTTGTCTCTCTTTCTTCATCTATAATGATCTGAAGCGTTGGAGAGAGAATTTTGGACCAGCTAACACGAAGCAAAGAAAATTGAAACAAAATTATTTAAGTCTAGCACCAAGGGAGTGCTTTAGCATGCTCATTTTCTGGCTACTGTTATTGATCTTTTGTAGTAGGGGAATCAGGCCGTGAATATGAGTTATGAAAGTGGCAAACTTTTTAAACTTTATTATACTGGCCTGGGATTCAGCCCTTATTGGAACTGAAAGGGAAATTGTTTTGGGGATATGTCAGATTCAAGGCAATTTGTTAACAACGTGAAGGGAGGACAGTTGTAGAAACAATATGGGAGAATGAAGAAACAGCAAAACAAAATCACCTGTTAGTTTGGGTAATGTTCAAGTTGTTGCATATTTTAAGTGTGCTACAGTGCCATTGCAGCAAAAGTTCCATTGAATAAAACCAAGAAAATGTGAGTTCTTAAATGTGGCTTCTTGCTTATAAATGTTGTCTAATCTCTAAATTTATAGAAGTTAGGGCTAATTGTTCATCTAAAGGCCATTTCAGTCAATGGCCAGCCTGGAGAACTGGGGCTGATGCCACAGCCATGAGGTAGATAAATAGGAGATGTCTCAAAAGGAGATTAGGATGGGTATTATTCAAAGGGGAGTTCTTGGACTTGAGAAGGGTTACTAGTGGTGTTCCTCAGGCGTCAGTCCTTTGACCTATCTAGTTTAACATTTTTTATCAGCAACCTTGGCACTGGAACTAGAAGAGTAATTGCAACATTGGCAGACAATATTAAGCAAGGGGGTATTGCCAACATGGAAAAAGACTGGATTATTATACAGGAAGATTTAGATAATTATGAGGAATGAAGCATTGGAAATGGAATGACGTTAAAAGTATGAAGTGCAAAGGCTTGTACATAGGGACCAATAATAAAGATTTTAGCTAGAAGTTGGAGGTGCACAGACTGCAGACATCTAAGAAAGATAAGGACATGCATGTACTTTTTGATGCTGGGATGATGATGAGCCTCTAGGTAACTGGAACCTCAGTTATAGCTAGGCGGGTTTGACTGTGGTACACTGATGTTTTTGCTGGGACTTAAATAAAGCTACAGCTCCCTAGCTTGATAGTTTTGTTCTTCATTTCAGAATTATGCCAATCATCATATTTAGGCATCAGGAAGGACTCTTTCTCCTATGCCAGTGGTAGAATCTGCCACAGATTTTGTTTGCCTCTGTAACATAGGGCATGGTCCTTCTGGAATCTCTTGAGTTCTTGGCAGTGTCCTCCTCTCCCCTGCTTTTCCCGATGGCATGTTATAGTGTGTCAATTATTACGCTTTGTAGTTGTATAATGGTTTGAAATGGCAATTTCAGGTGAACAACTGCCTGCAAAAGGCAGGGGACTGGACTCAGTGGCACAGGAGGTCCAGTTCTGTGCTACTACAACTTGATAGGATCCACCATATACCTCATAAGGCTGTATTATTGTGTAGGCAGCCTAGGACCTTGGTACCTAGGGTTATAGCAGGGGTTGTCAACCAGGTGTACACATCTGGAAGGGGGTACACCCCAGAAGGGGAACCCACCAGAAGGGGCACACTCCTTAGAAAAAGGTTGAAAAGCCCTGGGTTATGGGATTGCAGCAGAATCTCAGCTCTCATTTAGAAGGCTAAGTTTCTGTCCCCCATGGGTGTAAAGAAAGAGCTTAATGTCCATGTGAAATAATAGCTCTGAACTGCCCCATGCCTCTCAGTGTAGTATTAACTCCCGCAGCCATTAATGTACTGGAGGAGCCTTAGGCACTCTCCTCGGAGGACTGAGGGTGGTAGGAGCACAAATGTGCAGTGGGCCTAGCCCATCTGTCCAAGCAGAAACACCCCAATGGTTGAGAAACATAAAAGACTCCACCCAATAGGGCTTTTCCAGCATTTCTAGTTGGTGTTCAGCTGTTATACTAGCATCCACAAGCTTTCCACTGTCTCTAAAAGCTAGGGGCCTCTATCCCATCCTAGAGGATGATGACCCGGACTTTGCTATTCTTGCCTTCTTTGTGTCTTTGGCTGGGCTACAACAGTGTTATTATCTGGGCACAAAATTGTTGGTGTAAGGAACTGGGGCACAGGCAGTTTTGCCTAATGGTTAGGACACCAAGGGAGAGCAGGGTTTGTGGCTGGGTCAAAGTGCAGAAACTATTGACTGAAACCAGAGGGAAATTCAGAAGCAAAGTCCACAACACAATCCAGGGGCAGGATCTGGGGATCAGCTGCCAACTACCAATGTGAGGGGCAATCCACATCTGAAAACAGAGCCAGACTAGGGTAAGAAACCAAGAAACAGAACTGCAGGGAAATCTAAAGCCAAAGTCCAGAAATAAGCAAAAAAAAAAACAAAAAAAAAAACAAGGGTCAGAAACTAGAAGGCTTACCACAGCAGAACTGTTGACTGGCCTACAAACCCGAGCTCCAGAGGGTGTTAAATGGCTAGGCGGTGCTCCCAGCTGCCAATCATGATGCTTGCTGCTCCTAAACTGGGACAGAGTGCATTAGCTGAGGCTTACTGCAGGTGTGGCAGCTGCGGTACTTGGCTCAGGCTGGCCTGCCTGCTTGGAGTCCTGGACAGCACTGGGCCCAGGCTGGGCTGCCTGATCAGCATCTCTGACAGTTGGTGCTTAGGTAGCTCCAGACACCCAACACTGAAGTTAGATTACTAGGAATACATCACATTTGTGCCCTGCTTCCTATATTTGCTTCCTATAAAATACAGAATCAAGTTCAAGATTTGTGTCCTTATTTTCGAGGGGCTTCATGACTTGGAAGCAGAATATTTAAAAGACTGCCTAAATCTCCAGGATGAAGACCACAAATTGCAACATACACACTTTTGTTGAATTTATAGATATCAATACATTCAGCAAAACACTCCTCAATTTCTCAACCCTGGTAAGAACTTGAAGAAACGTTTATCACTTTTCTCAGTGCAGAACTGGAAGTGGCTCTAATATTACAGAGATAAGTGTGGTATAAAAGCTCACATAAAGTACAACAAAGATGCATGGAGTTTCCATTTTACTGCTTATGTCCTCATCTCCTTAAGAAAAGACTGAGGAGGGCCCTGCTGTCACCACTCCAACATCATGGCATGTTGGTAAATTCCATGCAGCAATACATCCAGGTTCCAAAATTGAATTAGTTAGCCCTACAGCAATGATAATACTGTTTTATAGAACAATTCGATTTTTCAAACTAAACGGGGATAATTTTTTTTCCTAGATAAAAGTAAAAAAGTTTAAAAGTCATATTAGCTTGAAAATAGAGAAATAAAAAAGGAGGTAAGGGAAGATGCATATTCAGTTTTCACTCTGAATTATTCAGAACTTAAACTAGCCTATCACTACACCAGTTTTATACCTTTTGTGAGTTTTACCTTTTTAGTTCTTTGCTTCTTCAGGTTTTTGTTCTTTGGCTATTTGCTGCCCATTTCTTGTAACCTCCTTTCCTTTAGATGCAGAATGTCAGCCTATGCCTCAGCTGTTGTACAGACGCTGTTGACAATGATAAACAGGACAACAACAGCTGCTCAGTCTGGGATTGCAAGAATCACTCAGGCTGGTTACATCTTCAGTATTCCTCAAACCACAATTTCAACAGAGTAAAACTCTGGACAACATGAAAAGGGACAACACTGCTTTTCAGTAAGCTGGTGGCCAGCCTGACAGTATTGATACTCATAGAAGTAGGGATACTTTCAAAAGACATACCATGGTGGTTCAGTCTGCGATAACTACATTCAAATATCTGAGCTTATTGTAATCCATCAAATGACATACTGAAGAGTTTAACACTCTGCCAGTACAAACGTTCACAAACTTCCAACCCAAATAGAGGTGTCGTCAATACACTGCATGCATGGATATATATTGGGCAGGAGCAGAAGAGTACAGTAGGCTTACCAGAAAAGACTATTTGTCCATGTAGTCTAATAACCTTCTTTTGGCAATGGCCTCCTCCCTGTTGTTTCAACAATGGAGGAGACCAAATAAATGCTAAATAACACTGTCCCCATGTGACAGATGTGATCCAATGGTTGATAATTAACTTAAGCAGATCATTTGCAGGTCTCATAAGTCTTCATACATGACAGTTTGTGTCTTCTGACAAGCTTGGGCCTGCATTTTAACTTACTGTGGATATTTATATTTTATTCACCCAAAATTATGCTAATGTGTTTGAGCCAAACTTTGTTTCCACTTAAGCCAGTAGCAAAACTGCTGCTGGCTTTATTGGGGCAGGATTTGTCTCTTTGCCTGTTAAATTCTTCTAACAGTGAGTTAGACAGCAAGTCTTCTCACACAGATTTGCCAATGCATCTTCAGTCCTAAGCACAGGATGGCAATGAAAGTCTGTGTTGAAACGGAATGACACAAAAATTGAGCCTATTACCCCTGACAGCCTCAGAAATTAAGGGAGAGCAGATCAAGCAAGAATTGCAGGAATGACCCCTACATTCTCTATACCATCTACAGTGCTGTAACAATGAAGTTTGGCGCCCAGGGCAAAGCCTGCAGTGGCAGCCTGCCCTCACCCCGCGCATAGATCGGGGGGCACACACCACCACCTCCCATGCTTGCCCGGGAGTGCATGAAGTGGCAGAAGCTGCCCTTCCCCTGCCCCTGCCCCTGTGCCCCCACAAAGAGCTGCTCGTGGCTCTATCCTGCGCCCAGCCCCTGCTGGGCAGTGCCTGTTGGCGCCCCTTCACTTCGGCACCTGGGGCAGTTGCCCCACTCGCCTCCCCCTTGCTATGGCACTGACCACCTACACCAAAAGTATCAGCTCCTCAGTCCACATGGCAAAACTGGTTCACATAGAATTCTCCACAGGCTTAAATGCTATGGATGGGCTGATTCTCCTGCAGGATCAGGACTTTATTCATCTTCTTTTCATCCTTCCAGCAGTATTATGATCTCTCTCAGGGCCCATGCATGCAAACAATTCTGGGCATAGCACTTATTATCATAAATGCTCCAAATGAATTCATCAAAAGGTCTACTCACTACCAAAGCAATAAAACCAACAATGTTTGCATTTATTTGGCACTCAGCCAAGTTGTATGTATTTAGCTCTTTTAATCTTCCTTCATAAATCAGTTTTTCCAGCCCCATAATAATTCCTATTGCTCTTTTCTGAACTTCGTTTAATTAATCAGCTACCCCCACCCTGCTACCAAGGTACCCAGAGTGATTTTGCAATATCACATGATTAAGAAAAAATAAAAACTATAGATATTCAAAGATATAAATCTGCCCTAAGTAGATATTCATATATTAAGTACAAGTAGAAAATCTGCAGGACAATAACTCTCATTTATATATTGTAAAGTGTGAAAATCAGACATTTAAGGAGCAGGAAAAGGGAACATTTTTTTAGACATATTTTAATTCTCACTCTTCGTAGTCGACTTCTAAAGAGAGCATCAGCCCTAGTCTCTCCATTATGTTTTAGAGGAGAATAACATGTAACTCAGGGATGTCAAAGATACAGTCAGATCTGTCCAGTGGAACTCTATCATTCAGCCTGTGGTGCTGCCTGTGGGTCTTGGACTAGACCTACGCACCAGATGCAAGCATGCTCCAGCCCCACCTCTGTGCACCACATGCGGAGCCAGTCTGGTGCACGCTGCTTGTGGTGCACAGGGCTGTAGCTAGCATGTGCTGTATGCAGTGGATGGGGCCAGTCAAGGGCACATGCTGCACATAGTGCATGGGGCTAGTATGTGGGCGCACTGTATGCAGGACCTGCACAGGACCTGCCCTGCACACTGTATCTGGTGCATGGAACCAGTCTGTGGGCCGATCTGGTCTGCAAAATGGCTCCGTGCCCCTTAGCTAGCCTGTTGGGAGTTTTATGCCCCTGATCTAAAGATCAGAATGGTTTCTTTTGTCACTGAGATCTAGAAATCTATTGTTTGGTCTTGGATTCACTGAAAATAATGGACTGACCACCTAAAACAATACTGTGGGATGGGACGGTCTTAATTCCTAGCTAAGAGAGCTTAAAAAATAAACAAAACCACACATACAAGTAATCAAGAATCAGATATTTTATGATTAAAAGGGAATCCCAGTACTCCAGGCAAACAAAAAATCCCTTCTGGCCAGAAAAGTAAATTTGCATAATGATTACTTATGATTTTTCACTTGTCTAGAGCTGGGCTTTACTCATCCTAAATCTCAGATCAATGTAATTTGAGAGTTGGGAAGATGCAGGTCAGAAAGGGACAGGAAATGGAAAGAAAGAGAAAAGTAGGTTCTTTAATGAAAAAAGGAACCCACCTGTTTAAAATCTTTAAGAGACTTAGAATTTCAGAATAAGTTCTACACAGTACAGTCAACTATTTGGGGTAAATGTAAGAAAAGCAAGAATAAGGGCTTGATTCGCAGAACTATTAGAGGAAGAGATTCTTTCTTCCAATAGATGCAGTAGTCACTCAAGGTGAGAGACACCCCGGTTCATTTTTCTCTGCTGCCTGAAGAATCTGATATCCTCTATTTACTTTCTAATAGAGTGCCCAAAACTCCCACTTCCATTGTGCCTGTTGACACTATTGCTCTTTCTATAAATTAAAGTGTTCCCTGGAACATTCCACCTCCTACACAAGCACTCCCAAGGATACTCAGTCCTGCTTCTTGTCTCCATGAGAATGTGAGTATTTGAGTACAAAAGAAACAGGAAAGAGCAACACCACGTGCTCAGTCCCAGGTGTTTGGAGAGATGAGGGGATCCACATCCAAATGCAAAGGATTTGAAATCAAGATCTCATACCAATCAGGATATTCTGCAGAAAAAGCACCCTGTCTTTCCCACTAAAGCTGTTCCACTACATAGTAAAGACTTGGAAAAAAAGCAAAAATGTCTCCTTAGCCTTGTGGCTAGTACCTCCTGGGAACTATGACACTAGGGTCTTAATGAATGTAGAAATAATTAAGTGAAACAGCATCAACAGGAGGGAGTGGGAGTAGCAGATACCACAGAACTCAATACTCAGCCTATTTGGACAGTCCCGATGGGCAATCATAGTTCTTTATTAAAGTACTTTATTAAACAAAATAAGCTTGGAAGAGCAAAACAGCAAATCCTGTCTTTACTGCACAGCAATTCCTTAATCTGCACATGCAGATTACATCCAACCAGAACACTACTAGTGGCAGGCCATTAGAAAGGATATCTTGGAAGTGGTCCTTAACACGTATGGCCTACTTGCAGCATTCTGCTTGGACATATGGTTTGGAGCCTCCCCATGTAGCTGTCACAACAGTGTGACACCTCATTTTAGGGATTATGGCCACTGATAATAAGGATACCAAATCAAGTAGTGGAAACAAGTGGTACATTCAAGATGCCAGGCTGAAGTCAGGTGCCAAAGATTCGTAGTCAGGACACTAACCCAAAGGTCTGGAGACAAAAATTGAAAACCAATAGATAAGCCAAGGTCAGGAGTCAAGGATCACGAACGAAGGTGTAAGCAAGAGGTGAGACAAAGCACTAGTTACAGATTCAAGAGCTCAGTTTATTGTGCAGAAAAGGTTAGATACAAAGGTGTTCCCTCTTAGCATGATACAAAGGAACTGGAGCCAATCAGGTGGCTACACAAAGATGCTGGAACCCAGCTGGGACTGATAGCTTCTTAATTAGTAGCTAGGCTAATTAAGCAATTAAGCAGCTAGACACATTAGGCAATGTGCAAGGATTACAGCAGAGGTGTGAGTGGTCTGACCATTCAATGAAAGGAGACTGGCACTGCAGGTGGTTTTGCAAATCTAGTCTTAACTTTTTTCAGACTCCTCTCTCTTTTGGCAGTTTTGTGAATTCAGAAAATCTGTTCAGTGGAACCTATTTGTATTTAAAACTACTTGAATTTAACTCAAATAGTTTTGGGAGGACCTATAATCCATTTGTTGCTAAATGTACTAGCCACCAAACAAATTTTCCCAACTCTAGCTGGAATGGTCTCAAGACTGTTTGTTTTAATTTGTGCTAGTAGCAATGCTCCCTAAGGTACTATTTTGCCAGCTGAGGAGACTCCCTTTTTCAAAGCAAATCCTCAGGTGGCTCCTTAAGCCTCTTGATTCTTTTGCACTGTCAGAATGGGACAAAGGAAACAGAGTGCGATTAGGGCCCATATCATCTATCACTTTTCTGGTTTATCTTTCTATAGCACAATAGGGCTTATTTTCATGTTAAGAGGTATTTCTGATGTGAGTGGAGAAATTATACTCAGAATGACAAATGGAAGCAACTTGACACAAATTGTAAACCTTTATATTTGAAGAGAATGCAGTAAATGTTATATTTGCTTTTTTTTTTTTTTAGTTGGTTCTCAGAATGAACAGCAAACAGGGAATAATCATTTTGATTTTTCCTTTTTTCCCACATAGTGGCTGAAGTTAGCCTACACACAGCTAAATTCATTTCTAGGGACTACAGTCAATTTACAGTTGAGATAAATCTGGCCCATGATTTTTTTTTTGCAGAGTAGATATGAACATTAGCATGAAATGCATTATGCCATGTCGGTGGTATATTTGCATTTGTGGCTTTGCAACCTCTTGAAAGTGTAAGTTTGCTTTAGTACTGATGCTAGTAGAGTAAGCTTCCCACAATCTGCTGTGTTAGCAATTTCCTCTTTCCAATTAAGAAAAAAAATGTAATATACAATATGTAGCATGTATTTAAAAATAGTCAACCAGATGTCTGGAAAGTATAGAATACAGAGGTCACTGTATAGATTGACATGAGGTGAAAAAGGGCAAATCATATTAGAGAGATTTCAGGTTCTCTGGCAGTATAAATAGGCATAGATCCATTCAAATAAGCAGAACTGTACTAACTTAATTCCTCTGACAATCTGGTCCAGAAACTTTAATCATGTTTTACGTTACTGTGTATTTTTTTGAAGAATTGAATACTTTGAGCATGCTTTGAAGTGTCTTAGCTAATTTATGTATTGCTATCGGGGTTTAAAAAGATGAATGAAACAGTGCTTAAGCTTTCTATAGTGTGAAAATGTGGTTTCTGAATTTTCCCTGGGGGTTGCTATGCTTGTTGTAGAAACAGTGGAGGCCCTGGTGTAGACAGGGGACAGATGTTTTTAACACAAAGTTTCGACCACAGTTGTTGTTGGTGGAAATGCATAAAAGGTAAATAACAGATTTGAATTCTGCAGTGAAGATATCTCTCTATTATTTAGATTAGGACTGTTTTCTATATATTGTTTTCATAGTTTTATAGTTTCATAGATGTTAGGGTCTGGAAGGGACCTTACAGATCATTGGGTCCAGTCCCCCTGCATTTGGGCAGGAAAGACTGTTTTCATAGTATATTAAGAAAACTAGGACCTGAACGTTCACTGCCAGGGCAGCCACCTTCATAGTAGCACCAGTGTGGGTTGTCTTGAACTCTGAGTACAGGTCTTTTTATTTGTGTGGCTTTAGAATTAGATGCTTGTGGAGCAGCATCCCCCAGGATTTGAAGGAGACTACGGGTACTCCTACACAAAGAAATGGCTTCCTTTAGCTGCTGCACTCAGACTCCTTCAGGTTAGGTTTGCTAATGTAGAGGAAGTAATTTATTACTTTTCCAGCCTCCAAGAAACTTCCCCTGCTGTCTCTAGGGGAAATATGTACATCCCAGTGACCTTCACTGAGCTCTCATCAGCTATGGTTTCACCCAACTGGAGGAAGATGCCTGACTCCTCCCAATGAAAGTTTGAGGATCTCCTCCAGAATGGAAACGTTGGCAGAATGCCCAGATCTTGTATACGAGGTTGTTATTACGGTGTCACTTTGATTTCATGAGGGAGAGGGTGACCCTGCTGTTCTTTGCAGCATCTAGCTGGCTAATCAGGAACGGAGCCCAGTTCAGCTTCCCTGAGCAAAATGATGAGAGACAGGAGGTTAGATACAATAGCTACTCTAAGAAAACAGCATTTATCACCCATGGTAGTTAAATTTGCCACAGCATTTATGGCATAGAACTCTCTACCTAAGCAGATATAGCAAGTATCATGGTAAAGTTGAATATTAAGGTACAATAAAGAATGATTAAGAGGTTTTACTGAAGTCATGGACTTCATGACAACAATGCTTAAATATGGATCTCCAGCTGCCAAGATCCTGGATTTCAGGAATTGAGCAAAGTATTTCAGCCTGCAAAATCTGAATCTGGTACCTGTCAGAGACATAGGACTGTCTGGGAGGGAGGTACCTTCAAAAAACAAAGATTAAACAATATTGCCTAATAGGAGAACAAGAATAACAAAGCTAAGATCTACTGATAGTGATCTCTTGACTATTATAGTGTTTGTTTAGTATTTCTCTGGAGTCTGATGTATTGATTCAGGTTTTTTGAGCTACTGAACATGACACTTTAAATGTGTTGTTGCATTTGCAGCTCAGAATTGATTCTTTTCTTGAAGAAATTCACAAGGTCTGTGGGGGATCAGAGTACTAAAGGGAAGTATAAACTTCCTGCAAAGGAGGTACTGACTAGAAAAATAAATTAAATTAAACTGAGAGATTCAGATTTGGAGGATGACGAGAGTTTAAAATCGATGCCTAGTACCTATCCTAAATGCAATAAAGTAAATGTGGGAAGAGGTCTGCCACAGTTCAGCAGCCATAATTGCACAGGCATGGAGAGCTGTTCCCAATAACATAAGAAAGAATTCTGTTATGATGAATATCCTCCCCCTGCCCCCCCATACATACATTTTTTTTTCTCTATCCCTCCTGGTCTTTCAGAGCTTCCTGTCAACTCTGATGAATTCTGTGTGAAAGGCTCCAGCTCCTATGGTGAAGTGAGATCTGTTAATGGAAAGGTTTTATGCAAGGTGGAACATACCTCCTTGATGCATGATAGTTGCCATGTCACTAATGTAGGCTTTGAGACTGCAGGTCCAAGTGTAATTTGTTCAAATCAAATAAAGTGTATTAGTCTTGCCAGTGCTCATATTGTGCGTTGCTTAATATCAAGCAGACAATGTAATCCGTCCCTCTCATGTTTCCTAGGATCATAGGAAAGTAGGGCTGGAAGGGACCTCACAAGGTCATCTAGTTCAGGCCACTGCTCAAGGCAGGATCACCCCTGACTAAGCCATTTCAGCCAAGTCTCCATCTAAACTGCTCTTGAAAACTTCCAGGGATGGAAATTCCAGTTTCTCTACATAATCTGTTTAAAAGTTTGACCACCTCATATAAAAAATGTCCTCCCTAATCTCCAACCTAAATTTCCTCTGTCACATCTTGTGGCTATTGCTGGTGTTCTGTACCCCATAGCCACAGAGAAAAGCCCATTTTCATGCTTTCTATAATCACCCTTCAGGTATTTGAAGACTTTTATCAACTTCCCCCCCACCCTCCAGCCCCCCATCTTGTCTTTTCCAGGCTAAATAACCCTAGTTCTTTCAGCCTTTTCTCATAAATTTTGCCTCCTAATCATTTTTGTTGCTCTGTGCAGACCTTATTAATTATTTTCCAAACTGTCCACATCCTTCTTGAAGTCTGGGATCCAAGCTTGACACAGCAGTCCAAGTGAGGCCTCACCAGTGTTTGTGGTTTCAAAGAGGCCATGAAAATTAGAGGCTACTTTTAGTACAAAGAACATGGTTAGGCTAGAAATAATGCAATTGTCAACATCACCTGTGTCTCACGGCAGAATGACCTGCAAGCAAGGTCTACAGGTCTTCAAGACAGAAAGTTGCCTTCTGGAACATATTTCAAAATGTTATTAAAGGAATCATGTAATTCCAGGATCCCAGTAAAACCCTGGAGCAGTTTCAGAGAGGACCCCAGCTACTTTTTAACTTTGGAGTTCTTTGCTTTTGCCATGTTCCTTACAGAGGAAAATTTCCTTTCATTGAAAAAACGGCTATAAGATGGAACAAATGGGCTCTGACATAGTTCAGATGAACTGGGTGGTGCAGAACAGTTTATCCAACAACTCTAGAAATGCCCTTGTCTTCTGTACCTGTCCGGGAAGAGCTGTTCCTTCTTAACTGTTCAGCAAACGCTACATGCAAAGGACTCTTGGCTTCCAGGTAGCACCCTTTGCAATGGTGGGTGAAGTCACACCTTCAACTGAGGTGGGCAAAATCCAGCTTGTGGGTTGCATTGAGCCTGCATGGACTCCTTTTCCCAGCAGTCTTTGCCTGCATCGCTGCAGCCTATTTCCACGGAGACCCCAGGAGTGGCAGGGCCATGATACCACAGGGCCTGGGTTCCCATGGAGATCGACCCCAGCAGTGCTGGCAGGGTGCGCAGCTGGGCGAGGAGCTGCTCCAGGGCTGGGATCTTGTGGCAGTGACAGCGTGGCCCAGAGCCGGGACAGAGCTGTGATCCATTGCCTATATAACCCTGGGCAGGGGTGTGCAGGCAGTAGATGGCAGCTCTGCCCTGTCTCTGGACCTTGCTGTCACCACTGCAAGATCCCAGCCCTGGCCCTGGAGCACCTCTCCTCCTGGCTGCGCTCCCTGCCAGTGCTCCTGGAGCCAGTCTCTGACTCCATGGAAACCCTGGCTCTGCACTGCCATGGTCCAGCCACTACTGGGGTCTCCATGGAAACTGGCCACAGCAACATGGATTGGGGCTGCTGGTAAATGGAGTTTGCCCATCAACCGGATCTGCCATTTTGCCCACCCCTGCCTTAGACCATGCTAAATCTGTAGACTAAGGTCAATTAAAGTTGAAATGTGCCGTGAGGTTAAGAGTTAACACCTTTTCTTGCCTGCAAAGCTCTGATTTGCCACTAGGGGGCTGGTAACGAGCCAGGACACCTCCCTGCTCTGGGTAGGGGGACAAGGGGGCTGGGAGCAGGGCATCCTGGGATTCTGGAGGATTACAAAATTGCTCCTTCCATCACCTTGGAGCAGGCTGAAGCTACCATATTTCATGGTGTATAAATCGAGGTTTGAAGCCAAATTATTCATCCTTAAATTTCCACCTCAACTTATACACTGTGCTACTGGCATCTAGGGGCTTACCCGGCCAGGCTCCTGCCTCCTCCCCTCTGCCCCTGCCTAGAGCCAGGCTGGGCCCAGACCCTGTACGCAGAGACACTTACCCACGATGCTTGCCGGGAAGGAAGCGAGCGGGCAGGCACAGAGCGGAAGCAGTAAGCAGCGCTTGCCGCTCTTCATGCCAAGCCGCCCGGCTGCCCACTAGGGTTGCCAGCTCTGTTTGAATCTATGGCAGGAGGTTTCATGCAGTGGCGATGCATAAGGAGTGCACGGGGGTGCATCCCTGAGAGCCAGCGCTCCCCAGTTAGGTGACAGGCAGGGAGGGCAGGCAGGAGCACCGGTGTCCCCCTGAAAGTGCTGGCCAGGGAGTAGGGGCACCGGGCAGGAGAAGCTTTGCTGGTACTTCTAGGTTGGCCCCCTCTGGTCAATGCAATGGCCGCGGGGAACCCCGGGTTGCTGACTGGCTGCTGTGGGGCAAGTACCGCCCCCCTCCGACTCAGGAGGCACCAGCAACCCATGGTTTCATCACATGATGTAACAGCATTAATGATTTTATGTCAGGAAGGCAAATGTACATTACTTTTAGGACGCTTAGAAAACCCACTGGACAACTGTAGAAATCATATGCAACATTTCATCTTTATTTTAATGGATGCCCTATCCTTGACACCCCCCCCCGTGACTCTCAGCAGCCTCCCGGAGAGGTCTCTGTGATTCCCGCAGACTGCAGGGCAATCCTGGCGGGCCGGCAGCCCTGCTCGCCACGCTGAGCCGCCTCGCTGCCCACCCAGCTGTACGAAAAGTCTTACTTTTCTGATTTTAAAAAAATTGCGGTCTACTGATACACGGTGTCAACTCGCACACTGTGAAACACAGCGCTCAGAGTCCGCCCGCCCGCCACCAGCCCCCAGGGGGCGCTCCCGCCCGCCGCCTCGGCACGGGGAGCGGGCGGTGCCACTTCCTTTGCAGTCTCCTGGGAAACGGATGCAGATTTTGCCACAGGGAAGCCCCCCCGCCTCTTCTTGCCGGCGGCTTCTTCCGGGAGCGCAGAGCGAGCCGTCCCGCCCTGCCCCAGCTGTTTCTCTCCCGTCCCTGCAGCCCTTTGCCCCGGGAGGTGGCGCAGCCGGAACCCCGGGAGGCGGAACTCGTGCGCGCGTGGTCGGCGGGGCCGCCCGGGACGGCTTCGGCAGAACGCAGGCCGGGCAAGATGGCTGCCGCCATTGCGGACCCACGTGGGAGCAGAGTCGCGGCCGAGGAGGCAGAGGAGAGCGGTAAAGGGCGGGGGTGCCCAAGCCTGCTGGGGAGGTGTCCCGTGTTTCTCCCAAGATCGCGGGGGTGGGGGGTAACGAGAAGATGTATCACCCTTTTCCTCTTCCCTTCCACCCCCCCCCCCCCCGCTTGTTTCTTCTCTCTCC